TATTAAGTTTTTTAAATTAAGTGAGAATTATTGAACCAATAAGTTTCTTCTAGTGAGCATCAACTTTATTAGAATTTAGTAAAAACAGAACTAGTGAATTTAAATTTAATTTATTGTACATAACTAGAATGTATTAATATAATGTTTATAGTATATAATATATAAGTATACTACTATAAGATGAGTAGTACACTTATATTTAATACTTTGATATATACACTTAATATATTAATTAGATATAATATGTAAATATAGTAAATAACAAGTATATAATAAGTAGATATTAAGTAGATAATAAGTACATATTAAGTAGATAATAAATATAAGTAGATATAATAATTGTATAACTAATTTAAATGATATGATATACTACGTATATTAAAAGGTGTAGAGAGAATTGAAGAAGATGAAGATGGAGATGATTAAAGAGTATTAGAGAATAGAGAGTAGGAAGAATTGGAGAATAGTCGTAGAAAAATGTTTAGAAATTAGGAGTATTTATACATTTAAGAAAACTACCAAATAGACCCTCGTACTTCCGAATCACCCAATCCAGTCCGCGTACTCACCAAAACCAACCAATCAGGCTTTTTAGCCGGTGGACGCCCGGTTAGCCGTTAATGGGTGACATGTAATCCACGTGTCCCTCCCTTACCCGACACTTAATCTGACGTGGCTATTCCCATCTGAAAGCCTCCTCAATTACCCAACTTCCCACCCGTTAACTTGACCTAACCTCCCTCGGATTTAGAAAAATAACGAACGAGTACAGGAGTTAGTTAGAACGCTGGAGTTTAACCAAAGTGCTGCGAAGGACTGCGAAGGAACGTTGTTGGAACGGGTGAGTTGAATTGAAGTGGTACAACTGAATTAGTTTGCAGTTTCGGTCATGTTGATGATACAACCCTAAACCTGAGCTAGTTTCGGTCATGTTGATGATACAACCCTAAACATGAGCTTTTAGGTCTTAAAAGTAGTCTCTTTATACTTACATGAATGTTATGGTGAAGTTCAATGAGTGTTATGTGTTGGGTGGAATTGAAGCAAGACTGAATTTCAGAAGTTCAATTAATGTTCTTATGTGTTATCTAGTTAGTTAGTGACTAATGTTTTACGCTTTCATGACATTACTTTGAAGTGAAATGTTGAATCTTTATTCTTACATTTGTAGAATGTTTGAGACAGTAGAACTACTAATACACTATGGGGGGAAATTCAGCTGTGATGCAAAGAAGATGTATGTTGGAGGGGTAGTTGAGACAGTACCTGCAGATGATTAGCTATCTCCACTTGAAGAAGTTCTTAGAAGGTCAAAGCAATGGCTCCATAAGAGGTCTATACTTCAAAACACCAAGTTCTAATATGAACTCCTTACATGAGCTGTTTGATGATCAGACTGCACTAAAGCTAATAGAATTAGCAAGAAGTTGTGGAAAGTGTGAGATATGTGTAGACCATGCACAAGATGAACTACACACCCAAGGAGATGCTGGTGAGGCCGAAAGTGAAGAACATGAACCAAATGGTGATGAAGATGACATTAATGATGACACAGATGTTGGTAGTGATGCCCCAGATGATGAAAGTGATGTTGAGGAAGAACATCAAAGTGGTAGTTCTGAAGCAGACTATGAGGATGAAGAAGAAGAGGTGTTACATGATGTGGAAGTGCTGAACAATAATTCCACACCAATGACAGATAATGTTCCAGAAATGGAAAACACATAAACTCCTCAGCATGGGGTTGAGAGTGACATTGAATAAGATACTACTGAATATGACTCATCTAACCCACCTAGCTTGCATTCAGAAGAAGAAGATGAACCTCAGTCCAAAAGGCTAGGTTATGGGAATGGTTCCTATAACCCTGAATCTGATCCTCCCCACTTTAAGGCGGGGATGTTGTTTGAGTATGGTAAGCAATTTAAAAGTGATATGATTAGATACGTTGTGTACAATAAGAGAGATATAGTCTTTGTTAAGAACGAGCCTCTTAGAGTCAGACTGAAATGTGCCATTAATTGCCCTTTTGCTTCTACTACTAGTTGGGAAGAGAGGATGAAGTGCTTTCAACATAAAGTTTGGAACCCTGACCATTTGTGTAACTTGAAGTTCAAGCATAGAGTAGTAAGTCAGAAATGAATTGCTGAGACCTATGAGGATAAGTTGCCTGAGAATCCTTCCATGGGGGCTGCAGACCTAAAAAAAAATGCTTAAAGCTGAACATAAGCTGAATGTCTCCATTAGTATGGCTACAAGAGCTCTGAAAATAATGCAAGATATTGGTGTATGAAGAACTCAGTAATGGTGTTTAATATTGCTTAATGTATAATGAATGTTTTCAATCAATGCTGATATTATGAATGCACTTTGTATTGATATGTTGGGGGTATTCCATAGCCTGTGTATAGTCTTATTTTCTTTTGTATTGTAGACTTTTGGTCTTCTGTCTGGGGTACTGAATATGATCAGTTGTGTCATTCCTTAAAGGGTGGATAACATATCACATTACTTTTGCTACTCATTGGGTTTGTTATTTGGTAAACGACTATTTGTCATTCTAAAGTATCATATACTCATTTGAAATAGTTCTATACACTCATTGACCAAATAGTACAATCTGTGTGCTCATTGGAATAAAAGAGTGACACAATAAACTGACTTCAGGCACTATCATCCCCTATATGTGAAGTATACTGATTTCAGGCACTATCATACACTATCCAAACTATCATGTGTATGGCTATTTTGGGAAGTTCACTTTCATTCAACAAATTTGTGCCATTGGAAAGACATTACATCAAACAACATTGTGTCATACAACTACTGCCATACAAATCCATTACATAAGTAAGAAACTGATAAACATTACACATGACCTTCACATACACAATTCTGGCATTGATAACCAATCTTACATCCTCAAATACACACTACCTACTAAACCCAGAAGTACAATCATAGCAAACTCATACACCTTCCTACTTTTTTTGTTGACCTTCGCTTCATTGTCAACCACAGTTTTGACACAAACAACATCACTGTGTACATGAGAAATCCGTAGGACAAGTCCTTCAAGCAATTGTTTCAAATCGTCTGCACTTTCGCTCTTCGCTTCAGCCCTCACAAATTCTATCTTCTCTTATGCCCTGACAATGTCTTTTATTCCTACATCTTCCTTCCATAATAAAAAACCGCAACTCCCAACCTGTACACATTAAGATGTTCATGGAATGTATCCAAATCATGAACATATATAAAGTATGCAATAAATGAACAAGGAAAGACGTTGTAATTCAAAACCACACAGTCAAATCATACACTTACCTTCCATTTTTGACAACCAAAAAAGCTTCTCCCACTTTCTCGGCCAGCGCATAATGTAGCTTTCGATCCACACCAACAATGAACCGCAGACTCGTAGTCAAAGGTACGACTTCATTCTTTTACAAACGTTGATGATGATGAAGACGGCATACTTCCACAATCGCAGAGATGAAGAAGGGAGAAGGGGAATGATTTGTCTGAAGGTGAATACCTAGGTCTGAAGGGAGGAGAACGATTTGTGTTAGATGGTGAGGAGATAGGAATAGCCACGTCAGGTTAAGTGCCGGGTAAGGGAGGGACACATCGGATTACATGTCACCCATTAACGGGCTAATCGGGCATCCACCGGCTAAAAAGCCTGATTGGTTGATTTTGGTGAATACGCGGACTCGATTGGGTGATTCGGTAGTACGAGGGCCTAATTGAGGAATTGGCCAAAGTAAGAGAGCCTATTGGATAGTTTTCTCTATATATTTTTTTCCCCCACCCCACCCCCCAAACCCCCAACCCCCAGACAACCTCCAACAGCTATAGAGCCGTTTGGCCACCCCACACATGGTTGCAAAGCCATTTAACGTTTTAAACAATTTTTTAAGTAGCCGTTAGGCCCGGGCTGGCCGGGCCGGTCAGCATTTTCTTCGTCCCATAGCCCGTCTCCCTATCCCCTGTTCGGGTCCCCAGTCCCAATCCCGGTCCCACACACTACTACTTTCATTTTCTAATTCTAAAATATAAAATTGATCGAATAAAATAAGAACTGGCCCAAATCCCTCACTACTACTTCCATCCCTAACAAATGGTTTTAATTTGGTACAAATTCTCCCAAACCACATATACCAAAACCGAATCGAAACCGAAGAAAATTGAACCGTAAACCGAATCACCCACCCCTAGTGTAGCCAGTGGTGTAGTGTAGGAATTAAGAGGGGTATAAATGGAAATTCAGAAAATAGAAAAATAGTTAAATATTTATCTACATAAGGGGAATGCGAGCATGGTTAATATAAACTGAAGGGGGTTTCATGCTTTTTCAATAACAGAAAGGGATAATGCGCATGTGTTTTATTACATGAGGGGATTTGGTGCAATTTACCCAATTGTAAAATGAAGGTGTGATTTTTTTTTTTTTTAAAAAGAGTGAATATTTATAGAATTTGTCCCCCATCATTGCCAACTCCCCAAACACTCGTGGCTCTCCTTTAGCCATTACTTAGCCGTTAGAGTCTTTTCAAATGGTCAGAAATGGACTTACAACGGACAAAATGAAAAGGGTAATTCTATTAACAGCCCCCTGATTACCCCTAAGTACTATTCACAGCCATTAATTAACTTGATATCTAAATTACCCTTACTATAGCAAGATAATAAAGACGACCCTCCTCGTACCTGCGTTTCCTATGCTTTTAAACGCAGAAAGCTTTTTGCCTCCACACGTTACACTCTGAAACTCAAAAACCTTTGCTTCACTTTCAATGATACGAAACGAATCCTCCAAATCTCTAAGTTAGTATGTTATTAATATCACATGCTCTTTAGGGTTGATGAATGAACCAAACTCTTACCTTGCATCAATTATGAGCTCAATAACAATGTACAATTACATATCATGATGTGAGAAACCTATTACAATTACAGTATTATTAATATACATATTACAATCAACACACATCGGTGCCTGTTTCAGAGAGGGTAAGAGAGGTCAGGCGAAGATGGTGTCGTTGAAGTTGCAGAAGCGGCTCGCCGCAAGCGTGCTCAAGTGCGGAAGAGGAAAGGTTTGGCTTGATCCCAATGATGTCAATGAAATCTCCATGGCTAACTCCCGTCAAAACATCAGGAAGTTGGTAAAGGATGGATTTATTATCAGGAAGCCAACTAAGATCCACTCCAGGTCTCGTGCCCGTCGAATGAAGGAAGCCAAGAGAAAGGGTCGCCCTTCTGGATATGGTAAAAGTAAGGGTACTAGGGATGCTAGGTTGCCTACTAAAATTCTTTGGATGAGGAGGATGAGAGTGCTTAGGCGTTTGCTTCGCAAGTACAGAGAGGCTAAGAAGATTGACAAGCACATGTACCATGATATGTACATGAAAGTCAAGGGAAATGTCTTCAAAAACAAGCGTGTGCTGATGAAAAGCATCCACAAATCAAAGGCAGAGAAAGCCAGAGAGAAGACACTTTCTGATCAATTTGAGGCCAAGAGAGCCAAGAACAAGGCTAGCCGTGAGAGAAAGTTTGCAAGGCGAGAGGAACGTTTTGCTAAGGGCACAGTGGAGAAGGAAGCACCTGCTCCAGCAGCAGCTCCCCAAACCCAATCAGCCCCACAGGTAACTAAAAAATCAAAGAAGTGAAGCCTTGGATGCGTCTCTCACTAGTTAGAGGCTTTGCATTATGTTTTCTGATCCTTAATTGCCATTTTTGTTGTTTTATCATGATTAGAATATTTGTGATTTCCGAACTTGTGAAGTTTATAACACCTTGGTATTATGTTTTTTTTTAAAAAAAAATCAACACACATCGGTATGAAAAGCATAGTCTTCAATTTCATCATGATATGAGCGCAGTTCCTTGATTGAGTTTGATAATTTTGACTTGTGCTTTGAGACAATGTTCTGCAACACAAATAATAATCAAATGCTAACATATATTTAAGCAAGTAAAGTTACTAATGAAACATCATATTTGAGATGCTTAGATGAAGCTAAATTATTCAAAATTGAAACATAAAACTTAAAACGTAAAAAAAAGCCCCTTCTGAAGCAGTACAAAATAAAGCATTTTTTATTGAGTCAATTGTGTTTTCAAAGTTTGATTCATAGCCTCTGACAGTGGTCATTCTCGCTGCACTGGTATTTGGGGACTCTAATGGATTAGTAGGAGCTGCAGGGCTTTATTTGGAGTAATAGGTCTTTGCTTCATTGAAGTTTGATGACACTTAACTTTTCCCATTTGCTCAACTTCATGCTGCACAAAGCATGAGAATTGGCAAAATTATATTTCCTTGGAGTTATTTGTTTTTTCAGGAAGATTTGGGAGTACTATGAGTTCAACTAGAAAACCAGAAAAAGTAATGGGAGCATACCCCAGTAGACTTGAAACCCAAAAACTATCAAAATAAAGGCTTTAACAACACATCAGCGACACACGACAACAGGGGACAAGATCAAAACATCAACCACAATGACTACACTGTCACTTGATTTCATCTCAAAATCATACATTTCAACCAGAAAAATAGTACGGAGTAATAAATAAACAATGATTGAGCTAATACATGAATACAAATATACTAATTCCATTTTAGTCTTTGAAAACAAGAATCTAATAATGCCACTTTGAAATTTCAGTGTAAACAACAAAATAAATACAGAGAAGGCAAGTAAGAAGGGGAACGTATCAACCAAAAATCTCATCATCTCAAGCGTCTAGAAAAACATCTACAAAGCAATAAAGATGAAGTATCTAAAACACGTGAAGTTGAAGCGAAGTAAACGACAAACACTTACCATTATCATCCATGGCTTGTCGAAGGAACCATAAGAAATCATAGGATGTTAAGATGGGGGAAATTCGGGGGCCTTCACAGTTTATCGATCTCACCTAGTACAGTAGAAATTAAGCAAAGATCAGTCTGAAATCGAATGACTTTATAGAAACACGCTTCGTTTACTTGCTGGTTTTCTCGACTTGGTGGCTGAGTATACATCAATGGAATCGTCTGTCTCAACTTGTGCCCCTTTTTGACTTACTGATTGAACAATTGATAGAACGAAGAAATGTGATAGAGATCTCCGAGTAGTTCTTCCTCGTTCGTTCGGGAAAGTTTAGACAACATCTTCTACTCTGAATATGTAGGGAGTGGAAGCTGCTTTTAGTGAAAAGGGTAAAGTAGGAATTATAAAAAATGATTTGTTTTATCTGAGTATAAGCGTGTGGTTAGTTAAAGAGCGAGTGTAATTAGAATTTCCCAAACAAAAAAGAAAACAAACAAATGACCATTTCAAATCGAACCGGACGGTGGGGGCCCAGTCCAGGACCGAAATCGGAAAACCGGTCTCGTGGCGGTCCTAAACATGGTTCCAGGCCAGTCATGACCAGCAGACCGGAGCCACCCCTATTTAAAAAACATGATCAGACAAGTCATTTTATACCGCTATACCATTTCCTTTTTGAAAAAATTAACACAATATTGAAAATTCATATAAACTTAAACACTTTAGAAAAAAGAAAGATGTAGAGTATGAAAATAACTCCACACGAAAATATGGTTTTTGAAATTCTTACATTTTTACAATTTTTTATTTTTTAATAGTTTTCTTAGTTTTTTAAAATTACCTATTGTAACAGGTCAACAATCAATTAAATAACTAAATTGATCAATTTTTAAAATAAGGATACTAATACAATACATTTTAATTTAGAGAATGAATGAAGTAATGAATTAAAAATATTATAAGAGTATATTTGAACATTTTTCTTAAATTATATCAATAGTCAATACATTACTCAAGTGCAGCAAGCAATAAACAAACACTCTAAAATGAATGAATGAAAAAGGTAAATATAATTTTAGGGGTTTTGACCTAAATATTATTAAAAATGAATAATGGATAAAAGGTGACTTTTTTTAATTACCAAAAATGTGACTGACATCACTATTATACCCATGCAGTCACAATTATATCTAGACAGTGACTGCGGCCACAGAGCAGTGGCACAGTGACACGTCGACTTCGACCAAGTGACATGATGATAGTGACTCCAGGCACAGTGCCACAGTGACTCCGGCCACAGTGACACGGTGACTCCGGCTACAGTGACACGATGACTCCGGCCACAGTACCACGGTGACTCCAGCCACAGTGACACGGTGACTCCGGCCACACTGACACGATGACTCCGCTTACAATGACACGACAATGTTGGCAAAAGTGACTCCAGCATAGTAACCAATCCCGCAATACCCCTTCTCTAGCCCCGCCCGAGCCCCACAATTGCATGTCCCAGTCACACCTTAGCCCCGAACCCCACCCAGAAATGACACACCCCAGCCCCACCCAACAACGCCAGACCTAGGGGTGGGCAAAAATACCGGAAAATCGGTATACCGCACTTACCGTACCGAAAAATACCGAAAAATATCGGAATATTGGTATACCGTCATTTTCGATATGGTATCATACTGTACCGATTTATTTCGGTACGGTAACGGTAAATGTTTTCAAATACCGCGGTATACCGGTATAATACCATACCGACTCCCTACCCAACAATTATTACTTTTAATTCTAGAATATTGTAAAACTCCATTACAATTATGAAGCCCAAAATTAATACTTGCATTGGTTACAAATCTCCAATGACTAATTAGTAATGTACTAATGTCCAAAAACAAGTTAATCTTGTTCCAAAAGCTTGCGAGTTGCGATGACTGAGTCGCTGAGTAGCTGATGAGTGGAGAGAGGTACACTTATGTGACAGGTGTATCTACATAGGGATTCCACGAGTCAAGCCACACAATTTTGTCCGAAAGTCTTATTCATTTTTTTAAAAGAATATAAAATGACTAAATGCACAATATCATACTACCTCCATCTCAAAATGATTAGTCAAATCCAAAGCTTTGAAGATTAATATATATTTATTGGAAATTATTTATAATATAAAAATTATATGAAAATGTTCTTTGTGAAAAGTACTTTCATAAAAGTATAAAATTTATAACTTTCATAATATTATACTAATCAAAACCATGGTCCAAATTTTGAGATTTGGCTAAACATTTTGGGACAGAGGTAGTATTAGGAATAAATGATTTTTATCCATGTTGATGGAGTATATGGCCCGGGAACACCCGGCCCACAGACTCCTACTACACCAATAAAGGCCCAACAGGCCCAGGAGGCCCACCAGGCCCAAATCACGGCGCCCAGAGTACCAAGCAGCCCGCAATACGCACCAGGGGTGCCCTCGGCCCCCTGGCCGAAGGCTCTAAACTCTCACAGAATGGGTTTTCCAGACAAACTAAGAAACTGGGAGAAAACGGCGAAAACAGTAGCCCTCAGCACCTGGAGCCCTCGGCACTCAGGGGTCCTCGGCACTAAGAGCCCTCGGCTAGTCCTCTGCAGCCGAGGGCACCTCTCCCGACATGATATCCGCCTCACATGCGTACAGATCACCGTACCCTGTACAGACGTCCCATCCAACAGCCGCATTAAATGCGGCCACATGCGGCTGCCAACGCCAACCAGTTGAGGTGACCCCTCGGCCAATAGGCGCTTGACGCGTGTCCCTGCCCGGCATTTATTGCTACTATAAATAGCACCCCATTTCCCCATTTGTAAGCACGCTGAAAACGCTCCACATTTATAATACACACTCTCTCTCTACATTTACTTGCTCTGACTTCTCTCTAAGTTATTCCCAGCAATAACCCCTCGGATATATACCCCCCGGGTAGACTATCCATCATTTGGTGCTCTCGTTGAGAGGTCGAACAATCGAGTAAGAAACCCTCCCCCTTCGCCAAACACTAGCCCTCTACCAAAATGGTGAGAACAACACGTGCCAACTCAAAGAACGTAGAAGACAAGAACCTGGCCCTCGGCGACGTCAACGCCCCCGAAGCCTCTCACAGGGCTCTCGAGGGCGGTGTCATCGCTGGGCTGGAACAGGCGGCTGTCGACCTACGCCTTCAGATCCAACAAAATGCCCCTGATGCCCGCCTCGGCATCGAGGCCAAGAAGAAAAACCGGAGCGATGACCAAGTCAGCCCTCCGGTTCTCACCATCGACGTGCAATCGGCGCTCTCCGCCTTCATCCAAACGCTCACTCAGAACCCGGGTGCCTTCGGCACCCTGGCTCCGGCTCACCCCCAGGTTGGGGAAAACATCATACTCCCCCCTCCGCCACACCCCTTCGGAAATCCCACCCCTCGGGTGAGGAACGACGAAGGGGTAGTGGCCCAGGATACGTCCTCCCAGGAAGTACAGTCCCGGGACCGCCACAATGACAACAGGGAGAGGCCCCGCACTTCCGCCCTCAACCGGCTCGGAGGAGGGCCAGACCGCCGAGGGGTCCAAGACCGCCTCGGAGGAAAGTCACTCCAAAGGCCTCAGGAAAGTGGAGGGTCTGTCTCGAGGGCAGACGAGGAGCGTCCCCCTCGGGACAAAGGCAAGGCACCCCTTCATGCCAATGATGCTCGCCACCAAATCAACCAGGCCCACTCGGCCCGGGTTCTTTCTCAGGGGGCGGAGACCCTCCCGAAGGACCCCCGGGACGAAATTATTGCGGCCCTCCAACGCCGGCTTGACGAAATGCAGTCCAACAAAGCTCACGCCACCACCTCCACCCCTCATTCAGACCTCAAATACGAGGCCATGATGGCCAAAATGGAGGAATTACAGAAGAAGGTGGCCGAGGGCTCCGGGGAACCCGTCATCCAGCTCCGGACTCGGACGCCATTTACCCCAAGGGTATTGGCGGCCCGGATC